TTTTATGATTCTTTTTTATTTTTTTTGGTGGTTTTAGGTCTTAGTTTGGGGGTGATTTAAAGGTGGGTTCTCTATTGGACGAAGGTGTTGGGGTTTTTGAATTTTGGTATGATTTTTTTTGTTAGGTTTTTTGGTTGTGGGTTTTTTTAGTAGTTATTTTTTTTTACTAGGTTGAACAAAGAAGGGTTGTGGGTTTTGGTTAAAGGTGGATAGGCAACACTGCTTGTTGTTTAGATGGGTGGTTCAGATGAAGGGTTGGTGATTGGTGCACGCAGGTTCTAAGCTAAGGTTGGTCAGGTGTTGTGTGACCAAGTCTAGGGTTAATGCTTAGGTCTTAACTAAAAACTAATGGGTTTGGTTAGTAGGTTCTAGTAGATGTGGCGTGGGTAAAGGCTGGTTTTCTTTTGTTAGGTGTATCTTGGAGCGATGAATAGTGGCAATGAGTTTGAGGGTAGTGTTGGTACAGGCGACAATCGATCATTTATGGTATGGGCAAGGCTAGGGTTATGTTAGGGTTGTGAAATGGGCAAGGCTAAAGGGTTGTGACTGGAGATTGTGCTAAGAGGTGTAGGGCTTAATGCTTGTAGAAAGGTGTGGAGTTGATGCGTCCATGCTCGGTTGGTGTTGGGAAAGGTTGAAACATGGCTAATAAGGGGCTTGATGCTAGTGTTTGTGTTATTACAGGCAAAAGGTGCGAGCAAGGGTTCTTGTTTATTGGTTGGGTTTAGTGGCTTAGGAAAAATGTTGAAAAGGGTCGATCTTGGGGCTGTGATAAAGTTGAAAAAGGGCTTGTAAAGGTGCTTTGTGCAAACAGGGAAGAAAAGTAGTAGCTTGATACGTACAAGGACTCGATGTGCTCGGGCTATGATGGCGAAGGTTGGATATGATCCTTAAGGTGTTGATGAGAGGTTGGGTCATGTTAGAGGTTCATTATCTGCTCCATAGGGTTGGCATTGGTCTTTTTTTATTTGTAAATTTCTATAATGGATAAAAATTATAGGGTGGCTCAAGGATTGGTGAAGGCTGGTGAAATGGGCAATGGAGCAAGGTACTGGGTAATTTGGCTTGTTATGGCAACAAGCTGCCAACCACTTCTTCATGTTTTGTATTTTTTGTTTTCTTGCTTTTTTTTTGTCGTTTTGTCAATTTTTTAATTAATTCAATAAATAAAAAAGATAAGAACAATAACGAAATAAAACAATAAAAATAAATTTGGGCTTTGAAATTTAATTTGAACTCAAAATTGAAGTTTGGGCCTTTTGTCGAACTTTTAAGCCCAAATAACTAAAATTTGAATTAATTTTGATTAAATTAATCCAAATTCAATCATTCAAATCAATATGCAAAAATCACTTAAAGTTGAATCGACCCAAATAAAATTATGTGTCTATAATTTTAATAAAGGTATTATAATAAATTTTTAAAAAATATAATATGTCAAATTTCTGTGAAGTAATAGTAAAAGTATCTTAATAATTTAATATGTAATTAATTTTATATTATATTAAAATTTAATACATAATTTAATAGGCACATTAGAGTAATTTTGCTAACTATGGTAAGATGGGCATTCTTGTAATTATGATAAGATGGTATTATAGTAATTTTGACTAGTTATGGTAAGAGAGCATTTTCATAATTATGGTTAAAGGGACATTATAGTAAATATGATCAATTATAGTGGTAAAAAATTTTCATAATTATGATAAAAAAGTCATTATAGTAATTTGACTAATTTTGTGAGGGAACATTATAATCATTTTGGACATGGGTCAATCCTATATCAAATACTTATATGGGTATTATAGTAGTTTATGTGAAAATAATTTTCAATATATTTTATAGATATATATGACATTATATTTTTTAATTTTTATTTTATTATAATAATTTAGTATGTAGTTAAGCGTTATGTAATTTTTTTAATATGTAACTTAATAGGGGTATTATAATAATTTTCATAAAATATCACATGTCAAATTTTTGTGAAGTTATGGCAATGGTATTTTAATGATTTAATATGTAGTTAATTTTATCTCATGTTAAAATTTAATACATAATTTAATATGAACATTATAATAATTTTAACTAATTATGGTAAGAAGGAAATTTTTGTAATTATGGTATGAAGGTTATTATAGTAATTTTGATCAATTATAGTAGGAAGATATTTTTGTAATTATGACAAAAGTACTTTAATAACTTTGGCCAATTATGATAAAAAAATATTTTTGTAATTATGGTAGAATGAGCACTTCAATGATTATGATAGGAAGAAGATTATAGTAATTTAAACCGATTAATAAAGACATGCATTATAATAAATTTGAACACATATTCAACAATTATTAAATAATTAGAGTGGCATAATCATCATTTCTATGGGGTTTATTTTCATATAAAACTAGAATTAGCTCCAGTGAACTATTTTTTATCAAAAATTTTCATTAGTTTAATATTTTTTTAATTATTTTAATATAAAATAATAAAAAGTAAAACAAAAAAAACACAATTAGAAAACAAAAAAAAAAAACACAATTAGAATTACATATATAATATTTCATATATTGGGACTACATTTTTTTGTTAATTTTTCGGACTATGTTATGACATTGTATTTTATTAATTATTTGATCAAATGTATGATTTTTCAATTTATTATAAATTATTAACCTTTTTTATAAAAATATTTTTAAAAAAAAAATAACATAATTTTTATTTTTTATTTTTATGTTTTTTGTATTTATATTTATTACTGTTATTATATGTTTTTAATATTTTTAATATTTATTTTATTTTTATAGATAATAAATTATAAAAACTTAAAACTTATAAAATACAATTAAGTTTAAACACATATCAAACAAACACCAACATTCTTTTTTAAAATGGAATCAAAACCCAACTCACTCATATCCCATCCAATTAAAAAGCTAACATACCATGATCTATCAAACCCAACAATTTATTTCACCTTTTGTAAATGGAAAAAGTATTTATTTTATTTTTTATTTTGATTTTACCAACCTTTATTTTGACTAATTATTCTATTAAAAAACAAATTAACAACTCAATTGTTGAGTTGTTTTAAATTAAGAGAGTTGTCCTGCAAGGGATAACTTTAATTGTAAACAAGACTCAGTACGTATAAAATGATATAAATATTAAATATGAAATTTATTGTGAGATTTTTAAGCTTCAAGATATAAAGTGTTAAAATTTGTAAAGATCTTTAGAAGCTTTCGAATATGCACCGTAAAAACTTCTCAAAGTTTTCAGAAATAAATATATAAAAACCTTTCAAATTATCTAAAAATGTACTTCCAAAAATTCTTTTTAATATTTTCCAAAATACATTTTCAAATACTTAGAAAATTGTTAAAAATTGATTTCTAAAACCTACGAATCATAGCACTAATTTCATCTAACATTTTTTGAAATTCAACATAAAATCAACTGAACTTAACACAAAACCAATGAATTACCCCTTATTATAAGCTTTATAACTTGATTTTTCCTTGATTTTCTTTGAATTTAAGTTAGATTTTGTATTTTTTTGGGGGGGGGGGGGGGGGGAAATTAGGCTTGAGTGAAGAGAGAACCGGGAGGCGTGTGAGGGTGTTATGGAAATTTGAATTTAAAATGTAGGGTGTAGTGAGTACAAATGCGGTGATTTAGGATTTGAATAAAATCCCTCAAATCTTAAATACTGTAATAAATATAAGTTTAAATGTTTACATCAACCTCAAATACATAACAAAATGTCACAATAAAATTAAATTATAAAATTATATTATATCCTAATCATATAATACTATATCTTAATCGACCTTCAAATTATATTTTTATGACAACTATTAATTGTCTCGAAAAATTAATATCAATTCAATTAAGGATAGTTTTAATATATTTTATAGATTATTGATTATAGATGAATCCATACATACGTGTCTTCTTAATGACAATTATAGCATAAATGACGACTATTTCTATAATTCTATGTGCCTCCTATAGATTTTGATCATATTGTATTTATTGGTAATAAAGTTGCATCTTGGAGCTTTCCTAAATATGGTTTTACTCCCAAAACTTTTTTTAGAATGAATTTTGAATTATGCGATGGGAATTCAATTTCATAAATTTCACTTCCATCTAGAAATATGAAATCCTATCATCCTATCAAAAATAATTTTAAAATCTAAAAATAAAAATAAATAACAACTCAAAATTCAAAATACACTCTAGACAAAATTAAAGGTGGTAACATTTTGATTGATTTTATTAATACATAATATTATAAATTTTTAAAATTTAATTCAAATTTGAATTAAATGTATTTTAGAACTAATTTTTCAAACTAAATTTTATTAATTTAATTCAGTTTAGAATTTTAAATTTTAAATATTTTAATTTTTTGAAAATTTTTAATAATTTTAAATATATTTAAATATAAAATAGTTATTTTTATGTTATAAAATTTAAGATAAAAATATATAATTTAATTTAGTTCAACTTTTTGGATTTTTCATTTTTCGAATCTAATTTTTACATTTAATATATAAATTTAATTCGAACTAAATAAAAAATTAATTAAAACTAAATTGAAAATTATAATTTTAAATTGTTTTTTATTTTTTACTCATCCTTAGATAGAAAACATATTTTGTGATTATCAATTATCAATTAAATATTGCAGTTGAGTGCTTTATTGTTCCATTACTCCTTTCGATTTAAAGTAATTATTTTTATATTATATAGAATTAATATTTTTAGAAAATAAAAACTTTAAGACTCTTGTAAATTTTTTATTTTATTAAAAATAATGATCATAATTAAATTAATTTAACTAAAAACATCAGTAAGTAACAATAATTTTTGGACAGCGAAAGTAACAAAACAAGCGACCAAGTCAAAAGTAAAACAATTCTTTGATCTACTGATTAAGGTAATTGATGGAATAAAAGAGCTTGGTCCAACCTTTCGCCCTTTCCCCGATTAATCAGGCCAACTCTCACCAAACCCTCAGTCAATCACCACCAATCCTGTACTGCCACGTTTCAACGACTCCCAATGTTATTTTTCCTTCTTCCCTTCGCTTCACCGCCCCGTTATTGTTGCAACCATCATCAAAATTTCCCCCATTGTTCTTTACTTCCCTTCTTCAAACAAAATCCTCTATCGCTCTCTTAAACTCTCCTCTCCAAAGGCAATTAGGCCTTCAAAAAACTCTTCAAAACGATGTCGTCTTCTTCGTCATTGAGGAAACCCTCGTGCCTGTCGCGCAGATTCTCGAGATCACTAAGATCATTGGCCAAAACAACTTCATTAGCGACAGTCTCGACCACGGCCAGTCAACGGGAGCCTTTTTCTTCTTCGTCGTCGCCCGCTTCGACGCAGGAAGGAGGGCAATCTTGGTCGACAATGCTGCCGGAGTTATTATATGATATCATGGAGCGCGTGGAGGCGAGTGGAGATCGGTGGCCTCAAAGGCAAAACGTCGTCGCTTGCGCGTGCGTATGTAAAAAGTGGAGAGAAGTTACAAGAGAGATCGTTAAGGCTTCTTCTCATGGTAGCGGCAAAATCACTTTTCCTTGTTGTCTTAAACAGGTTATTTAAATTTTCCTTTTAATTTCTTTAATTAATTTTTGTTTTATTTATTTTTGTAATTGAAATTGGGATAGAATTTCATAATCTGGTATTAATTTTTTCAGTTAGTAGATAAAAATATCATTAAAGTTTCAAAATATTGTAATTTTAGGAGCTTTTTTAAGGGTTTTATATTTAAAATTTTTTGGATATTAATTGTCTGGCAATTGGTAATTTGTTGGCAAGCGGTGAAAAAAAAATTTTTTTTCATTTGTTTAGATTTTAGTTTTTGGTAACGGCCTTTACAGTTAGATCATATTGAAGCTTTTTATTCTTAGTATTTAATTAGGGAACTCTAATATTTGTATTTATTCTTTTTTTTTCTCTGTATATTGGGTAATTTAAGGGAAATGTATGAGGTAGAGAGGTTCAAAATTTTTGAATCAAATGACATTTTTTAACATTTATTGGTGATTACAAATTAAAATTCGGTCAAATGTTAACCTTGTAATGTTAATTTTTTAGCTTTTAACATGACTTACTTCCAATAGAAACCACACTTTTTTTTTCTGTTGTGGAAGGAAATTATGCTTTGAGGATTAAAATTGTTTTCTGGGCAGTTTGGAAATCTGGGATTATCCTTCCTAATCATCAGAACATAACTTTTCGCTTTCAATTATGCAAAAGGAATTTGAAAACAAAATAAGGCATATATAATTTCTGTCTTTTGTGATCTTTAAGTGTGTTTTGATTGTGGCTATTAGTTTGAGATGGAGATTTCAGAAATTGAGTTGCTTTTTTGGTTAGTGGTTATGAAACTGAATTGCATTTAGGATTTACTGTTGCCAGTCAATGAATTTGTTATAAGTTTCGTTGCTGTTGGTTTTATTGCTTTTTGTTATTGCAGCCTGGTCCGCGTGATTTTCCAAACCAGTGTATTATAAAGCGAAGCAAAAAGAACTCAACATTCTACCTTTACCTTGCTCTTACACCATGTAAGTGGTTTTTTGGTGTCACAAACAAAACATGATGACAACATGTTAATTAGAATTGTATGCTAAATTACATGCTAATAATGAATTTGAAAGGAAGTGAAGAAAGAAAAGAAGTTGAAAGCGGTGTAATTCACTCTGTCAAAGCTTCTAAATTGACTTTTGGCTTTTGTTTTGGTAGGGTCATAAATGTATATTTCTGTCTTCTGAGCTAATACCGTTGCCTAAGTCAGCTTGACTTAGTCTTAATATCGAAAATCTCCAAAATGGTTGACAAGACTATCGATGTGCTAAGGGTTGATTTGAATGGACGGTGAGACAAGATTCGGTGAGATTGAAAATAGTAGTGGATATAAAATTAATTATTGAAGTAGTGAAATTAAAATAAGTGAGATATGTGATTAGATGTAAAAACAGTTATAATGGTGAGAATAGAAAATTTTTATTAAGGGCAATAAATTAAAATTATATGTAATAAAAATTTTAAATGATTTAACATTTATAAAATTAATAAATAATTAAAAAATTAAAAAGTTATTTTTTTATCAAATAATAATTTTATTGATAAATAATTAAAAATTAATAAAAATACTAATATATCAAATAATATTTTTATTATATTACATTAATAAAATTATATATTTTTAAATAAAAAAATTAAAATGGAAAAAGAATGAAAAAAAAAAGTTATTAAGCAAACATATTTTAGTAATTATAATATTATGTAAAGGGTAAAAATGGAATAAAAAAAAGTGGCTAGCTGGCCGCTGGACCAAATTTCATCAGTGGCTAAAAGTCAAAAGACGCACCACACTATTGACACCCAAACAGGCGATTAGTGCAATTGACACAATTTTTATAGCAATTGGCCTTCCACTAGAGGTGCAGTTGATTCCAAATGAAGCATTAATGGCCTTACATGACTATTGACTTTAAAAGAGTAATAAGATTTAGTCCTTTGGGCCTGTCTATACTATACGTGTCATATTATCATCTTAGTCTAGTGAACTTTGGCTTCTGTGAGAAAGGATATGAGTCAGTTAAAACAATTTGATAGTTTTCAAAATTCCTTGTCTCACTAGTATTTCATTGTGTTATGAAAGCATTATCTTCAACGTGATGACTGGTTGATATCTCTTTGTGTGTGTTATTGTTACAGAGGCCTATGAAGTTATTGCTCAAGTCTTACATCTGATGATCTACACTCTTTCTCGTTCTCTCTCTCTCTCTCTGTCTCTCTGTATCTCATTCTACCTTAAGAAATACAAACTAGCAATTTTTTCTTCCTCGATGTAGCAAATTTAGGCAATGGAAACATGCTGGGGTAGCAATCGTTGTGTCTTTTCTGTTATGCATTTAACAATTACCCTAAAACCTTTGCCAAATTGAAGTATGTTACATTAAGTCCACTAGCAATCATTTTTCCTCAAAGATGTTGTTGCCGGTTGAAAAGCTATATAAGTTTGTTACCTTTTATTGACAAACTAAGACAAATTTTATTCTTGTGATTTTAGTTCTTGAGAGCAAGTAGTGTGGTTTCACTGTTTTGAGCCAATCTATAATAGTTCTCTTTCTTTATTGTTTTCATCATGCAACTGGATGATGTTAATGGTTTAAATCTAGCTTATTTGAATCTTTTTTTTCCTGATCTTTAGCAGCTTTTACTGACGAGGGGAAGTTTCTATTGGCTGCTCGAAGATATCGACATGGAGCCCATATCGAGTATATCATATCCCTTGATGTGGATGACCTATCCCAAGGCAGTAATGCCTATGTTGGGAAGTTAAGGTAAGGGATTCAAATGAAGTTTGGGTGAGGTTTTTTGTGATATGATTTTTCTCTTGTTGGAACTTGGTTAACAAAATCTGCACTTTGAATTTAGTGAGTGTTGTTATTATAAATTTCAATTCAGTATTATATCTTTTGGGTAAAAAATTTTCTGTCCACTAATTTTTTGCCTTGATGTTTAAGCATAGAGGGTGTATGGTTGACATATTAACCCTTTTTTATGCAGTGCAATTCTTGTTTACAGATTTTGATTAGCTTGCTATGATATACCTTGGTTAGTTTTGTTCACATACTGCACTTTGTACATGTTCGTAATTTGGACCATTTATAATATAGAGGCATTTTCAAACAACCGAGTGATGTGGTGGAATGGACCTCTTTTTTCTATATATTTTCTGTTTTTTAATAATAAAGTTATCGTCATTGAAATGTCTGTACCATGCAAAATCACCATGCCATACAACACTAGTTCATTTTCTTTCGTGAGGATACAGTTTTGAGTGTCAAATAGATCAAGTAAAAAACGATCTGAATTGATAAAATGTAGCATTTTGTATATAGGTGAGACACTATGGAATTTGAGAGAGCATTTGGGAGACAACTTATATGGCAGGAATAGCACTCTGTTGATTTGATGACACTGTTACTTTTTTATTTTCTGTCTTGTTAAAGTAAAAATGATAACTTTAGAGTTCCTTTTATATTTTTTAGCTGATACTCACATGCAAATTTATGATCTTTGCAGTTCGGATTTTCTAGGCACCAACTTTACGATCTATGATAGTCAGCCACCCCACAGTGGTGCAAAGCCCTCAAGCAGCAGATCCAGTCGCAGATTTGCCAGTAAGCAAATCAGCCCCCAAGTTCCAGCTGGCAATTTTGAGGTTGGACAAGTGTCTTACAAGTTCAATCTCTTGAAATCAAGAGGTCCTAGGAGGATGGTTTGCTCAATAAAATGCCCTTTGCGGGAAGAAAGGGCTGATGACAAGTATTTAAACGACTCCAAGATGAAAATGCCAGAGCAGGCTGCCACTGGTCATACAATTTTGAGGAACAAAGCTCCAAGATGGCATGAGCACTTACAGTGCTGGTGCTTGAATTTCCATGGTCGGGTAACAGTAGCATCTGTGAAAAATTTTCAGTTGGTTGCGACTGTTGACCAGAGCCAACCGGGAGGGAAAGGAGACGAGGAAATGGTTCTCCTCCAGTTTGGGAAAGTAGGGGATGATATATTCACCATGGATTATAGGCAGCCCTTATCAGCCTTTCTTGCTTTTGCCATCTGCCTTACAAGCTTTGGTACAAAATTGGCTTGCGAGTGATATTATTTTGAAGTATTATATATTTATATATTTTAGTAAAAAGTTGTGCTGCATGTTTAATATAATTATTTTCTGCTTAATGTCACATTCAAAAGTTTTGGACGGCCTTTGGTTAAGCAAATGATGCATATGTTGTTATTGTATCTAATAACATTTTCTGAAATTATTGGCTGCAAACACATATTACTGTTAATATGATGTGTTTTACATCAACAAGCAAGTACCTTCTGCTGTCTCGAAAATTGACGTCAGGATTTGAGAAATTAGTTGACAAAAAGCATATGAATCCTTTCTCCTCCTCTTTTTCCACTTGGAAATAGTGTTTTGGGGGGCAAATTGCAACAAAAGCATGTGATTAGTTCTAGTTGTTTGCAATTGTGAACTCTTCTTTTTCCCCTTTTGCTGTGAAACGGTAGAACATCAAACTCAAGCCGCCGCAGCCATGTTTCTTGACCAGTTGAGCAAATTAGAATAATGTTGGCAAAGTGGCTTCCAGAATCCTGGGTAGAAAATAATCTAGTGCTTCAAAGTTTTGAATTTTCTACAGCATTGGGTCCTTTAGAGCCTAAAAAAGTACAGCTTTATAGTTGAAAAGTGATTTTTAAGTGCTAATATTGTAATTTTTGCTAGTAAGAAACATATAAAGGTTTTGGTCGATAAAAAATAAAAATAAAAACGAAAAAGGGAAATTTTTTTAATTCAGTAGTAACTATATAAATTAGAAAGATTGTTGTGAATCTTGTTGGTTCTTGATACTAAACATTTACTTGTAAATCTTTAGGTATTGAAATGTACTTCTCAAATGTTTTTAAGAGCTTGTTATTTTAGGTTATAGTTAACTTGTTCGTGATATTTTGGGGCAAAAATAAGAGTTTTTCTATTTCAAATTAAAATTACCATATTTTTACAAGCAGAAATCTTGGACAATACCAAAACTTTCCACCTTTCATTCAATGCAGTCCCAAAAGTGAATCAATCCAGAATTGAGGAGATCTTTTAGAATTGCTTAACTATATATTTTTTTTTGTTGATCGATAAAGGTGAACTAGAGAGTTGTGAATAAGCAATGCAGGTTGATGAATCAATAAAGTAGAGTTAGCCAGCAAAGGTGGGATGAATTCGTTTATGTCGAATCTAACACAGCAGTTAAAGATTTGCATTTGCAACAGATGGATGTAAAAATTGTTTTTCTTGTTGGTGATTTGGAGGAAGAAATTTACATGCAGCAATCACAGGCTTTTGAGGTTCAAAGAAAGAAGAAAATGGTACGCCAGCTTTTCAAGACCTTGTATGGTTTGAAACAAACTCTTAAACAGTGGTACAACAAGTTTGATAATTTTGAAGAACAACAACAAAATCATTGTTGTTATGTCAAACGTTCGATGGAGCTTTTTTTTTTTTTTTTGAAAATTCGGGTTAAATTGAGATTTGAAGAGAAATTTATATCGGAAGATTTGGAAAGACTTAGATTCCAAGCAGAATAAAAAGGAAATTGAAGATCAAATTCGATTTCTCAAATCTTTCGTTTTGACGAAACCCTATAAATTTTTGGATTCAAAACCTCTGCAAAAAACAATCATCACCAGTGCATATGGGATACAAACAATTTTTGCACAGCACAAATCCGAATCCCAAAAAACACAGAGAATCAAAGCAGGGAGGAGGAAAGAACCAAACAATCGAACCTCCCTGCCATAGTCCTTTCCAAACCTAACTCCCCTTTTTGTCTCCAGTGGTCGAGCACCAAAATAGACACCCGGCAATCACGAGATCCAATACAGAATATCAAAACACAAGAACCACATTCAACCCACCAGAAATAATCTCAGGCAAGATACGGACTGTCGATAATTTCAGATGCAACACAGTAGAAAAAAAAAGCAGCAAAAAAATTTCCAAAATAGAGGTTTCTAGTTAGTTAATTTTTGAAGAGTTTTGGGCTTCAATTTGCTTAGAAAAGGAGAAAAGGAAGAGTTATTTTTTTTATTGATGGTGACTGGAACTAGTGACCATTAACGGTTATTGAAGGTTGAAACGGCGCCACTGGTGTGAAGGAAGGAAGAAGCAGAGAAGAGAGGTGATCTGCGTTGGTGAAAAAGAGAATGAAAAGAAAATGGTAATAGAGTTTAGGAATTTTTTTAAAGCCTTAAACGGTGAGTTTAGGAAAAAAAATAATGGAAGGAGTGGGCTGCGAGGATCCGATCTGAGACCAGCCCGTTTCAACTCTTCGTCCAGATGCCAAACAATTTTTTTGTTTTTTATTTAGCGGCTAGGGGATTTTAGGATTTTGCTTAATACATTTTCTTTTACTGTGTCAAAAAAAGTTTATTTAAGCCAAGTTTAGTAAATTTATGAAAAATTATTTTTTTTATAGTTTCTTAATGAATTTGATCCCAAGCAATATAGATATGAGTTCTTTTTTTTTTTTTTTTCACTTAAATCAACCTTGGTTGTCAATTCAACATTTGACCCATTGATCTAGGCTTTATTCTTGATAGGCTTAGTGAGATATGATTTTTTTTTATTTTTCATGTTATATTTTATATATTTCAAATTAATTAGATATTTTAGGTAATAAGTAATTTGAATTTTGGATGATTTATTAATAAAATTTGAGATAAAATAGTGAATATTTAAAAGAATATTCTAAAAAATTATTTTGAAAACATCAATTTTTCTTAAAATTTTAAAGAAAAATTGGTTAGTGAAATCTCGCCAAAAGTATTGGCAATTTTAACAATCATTTTTACATAAAGATTTTTTTATATCTAGTCATCAAATTTTAGTTTTAAAAGATAAAATAAAAATTATGCAAATTAATAAAAAGTATAAAAATTAAAATATGCGTTTCATATTTTTGCAAATGTTCAATCATCAAAGTAAAGTTAAATCTCCTTGTGGACGAAATTATTAAAAAGTTGTAAATATTAATTTTTAAGGAAAAAAATTTAGGTGAGAATTATTTTTTTAATTTTGTTAAAGTATTGTGAAATTCGAAAAAGATTTCAACATTAAAAATTCTTGCTAAATGATAGAAGATGAAACTGCTATGAATAAAAATACATTTCTCCAATAAAATTTTTAATTCATTGAACAACGAAACTTTTCCAAGAAAAATAATTAGTTTTCTAATGTGAATAGACTTTCTTAAATTATTGTCAAAATGTTAAGGTAATTTTAAAAAAACTTTTCAATATTAAGCTGACAAAATAAAAATAAAATATGATAATAAGATTTAAGTGAGAGATCATTTTTAAAGAACACTATCAAAAATTTGTTTAATATTGATAAAATTTTATTGACAAAAATTTTTTATTGATAATTATTGATAGATCACAAAAAAATATATTATTATGAATTTATTAATGGAATACTGTCGAAATTTACCAATGAAAAAAAATCTATTTCATTAATAAAAAATTTTCTAAAAAAAGAATACTTCGATAGAAAAATATAGTTAATGGAAAAAAAATTTAGATTAATTAGTCAGTAAAAGGTAAAAAAATTTAAGTTTCCGACAAAAATTCTATCAATAATCCGTCGTTAAAAACCATTAAAAATCAAATCCCATTCTTCTTTCTTCCTCCCACAATTTGAAAATCCCTGATCTCTCTCTCTTTCTCTCCTCTCCTCTCTCTTCTTGATTTACCCTTTTCTCACCTATGAAGGCGCTGCCACCCTTGCCCGTGAAGCCATTCCTTGCCATTCCACCCCCGTTTCTCTTGCGCCTTGGTTTTTACTCTAATCTGTTATGTAATCACACGACATTATTAAGCATTATTTTCTATTTGTTTTCAGGGAAAACCCAGAAGGATCAAAACGTTTTTATTTATTATATAGAAGGATCACATGACATTATTGGCTATACATTCTTTAAACTTGGCTAACCTAAAAGATGATTCTCTCACATATCTAATCACCCTTCTAACACAAGCAACTAAATCAATCATTTCTTTTAACCTATCACTCATAATAAGGTAAACAACATGGGTAATACATGTCAAATGAAGATATTTACTTCCTATAATACTAGTTCTTGCATTGTTAAATTTTTTCAAGTATGACATTGCAACATCATTGGAACTACCACCATCAACTATAATAGCAAAAACTTTATCAATCCCCTAATCACAGAAACATTTCTTTATTGCCTTACCAATTGCTTTCTTTTATGATTGAAAATGGGACAAAAGTCTAATATTTTTTTGTCAAGCTTTCAATCATTATCCAAAAATGAGTTGTAAGACAAATATAATTGACTTTTTACAATAAGATCCATGTGTCAATGGTAAGTGTCACTCTCATAGAAAAAGATTTCAAGAATTGCCTTAGGCAGTTTTTTTCATCAATATAAATTTGATATCATTCCTTAGCAATAATACATCATAATGGTATATGAAATTTAGGACATGCAATAGCCCTGCAACATCTAAGTCCTCTCCCTTCCACAAATCTAAAAGGCAAATCATCTATAATTAATCATATGAACCAAACATTTCCTAATGGCATTTTGGTCAAATTTCCAACTAACAACAAACCCATCTCCTATTGAGCTTAAAAATAATTCTATTTGGGAAGGATCACCATTAATATGAGGAAATTTTGTAAACAACCCATGTGATTCTTTAATGAAGATGTTTCATTTTTTTTAGGATAAGCATAAAACAAATCCACGCAGATGCATGAGTACATGTGCGAACATGCAAACATACATAGACACACATGAGAATAACTTTCACTTAGATGAATTTAAAAAAGAAAATATCAAATCTAAGTTTGAAATAACTCTTTTTTTCCATGCCTTTAGTTAAACTTCCAAGTGTTTCATAAACCATGGTTAATAGTTCAAAAGAATTTTAATTCCTCGTATTCATAGTTTTCATTTGACCTCATTATACAAGTGAATCATCATTTAGTAAGTTGTTGAAGTGGATTGGCCCTAATAGAATCATTTGGCATGTGCAAAACTCATAGATCTTTCACAAATGATTTCAAACTCTATAGTCTGGTTCTAAGTTTTTCATTTGACCCTAATGGTTTCATATATAGTATGGTCTAAATATCAAACTCTAACATCAAGTTTATTTTTTTCAAATTCCATAGCAGCCACCATAGAGATTCCATAAAGATTGCATACAAAAAATGAGGATGGCGACAAATCTTAGCTCTAAGAGGAAGAAGGGTGAGAGGTCAGGAGAGAATAGAGGTGAGGTCTGCTATGGTTGTCGATTAAGGCGTGCGGCCTCTAGATCGAGCAGGTCAATGGGCATTGACGACGTCAGTAGAAAGAGATAAGGAGTGTGAGGGCTCGAAGGGTAAAGAGAGGAAACGAAGGGTTTAGATTTTAGAGTTTGGTAAAAAGTAAAAACAAATAATTGAAATAATTAAATTAATTAAAATATTAAAATTTAGGTATTTCAATTAATTCGGTTCTTAAAACTCAATATTAAAATCGTAAATGAATCGAATATGAACAAACGAATGTATGCTTTTTCGTTTGTTTTTAAAGGTGTTCCTATTCGGTTTATGTTCATTAAGAAATTTGCTCTGTTTATTTATTTAAATAATATGTTATTTATATTCAGTTCATATTCGTTCAATTAAATTAAATGAGTTCGTTCGTGAACATGTTCACGAACATATATAAACGAGCAATTCATAAACAATAAATAAATTATAACCAAACAAATTTAAATAAATAAACATAAACGAACCCAAACAAATGAACCTTAAAATAAAATTAGAATAAAGGATAAAAATATAATTTTATTAGTATTATTATAAACAAATAGCAAACGTACAATAAACAAATGAATTGTAAACGAACCGTAAACGAGTTTATTCGTGAACATAAATGAACGAATAAAAAACTATTCTTATATGATTCATTTAATAAACGAAAGCACAAATAATGTTCAAAATCATTTGTTAAGCTTAATAAATAAATATAAATGAATAGAGACAGAACATGTTCACGAATCGTTTATTAAAAATTCTATTCGCTTACATCCCTACTCAGTATCCAAAACCAATTTAATTTATTTAATTGAGAATATTGTAACTAATTTAGTTTATGAATTGATTTTTGATTGATTTTTTCTATTAAAATAGATTATTGTTCTCCCCTACATATAATAAAATATATAATATATATTTAATATTTGTGAAATTAATAAATAACAAAAATTATTAAAATTAGTTATATATATATAACATAATAATTTTTTAAAATAAATATTTAAAAATATTTATATTTATATTTTGTCAGGTTGCATACAATTTAATTACTATGGTGATGCTAATTATATTTACGCAGAGCAAATATTCGGAAAGAAGGACATTCAAATTTTCTAAGCTTATTTTTAACCGTGCACGACACTATTAAAGAAAGATAACCGACTGCTTGGTGGAGAGTAGTTTACTGTCCAATAGGTAAAATGGGACCAGTTGTTCATGGGAGAGTTTCTTCTCCAGTAAACAAAAATGGGTGCAGTACAGTGAAAATGCTCCTATCATGCCACACTCCTGACACTTAATGCGGTCACGACATAATTAAAGTCAAAAGTGACACGATCGTGTTGCATTGTTACTTCGTTTGAATTCAAACAATTTCTTAATTAATTATCGAATACTTAGTAGAAAGGTAATATAGTTTTTGGATGGTAAAAAAATAAAAAAGATATATTATATTTTGATAGTTTGACTGTGAATTTGTGATTTGAAAATTATATCTATTTACATACCTTTGAGCTTAACCTATTTCAGAAAAAAAAAAAGTCAAAAGTTATTTTTTCATATTATTAGTAAAATCTTCCTAGCTTCGCCATGGGCATTAATATTTTTTTTCTTTTTAAAAGTATAAATCAATAATTTTTTGTATTTAGTAAAATTGAAAAATAATTATTTTAAATTAACAATCTTTACAAATATAATATTTATTTTAAATTCTTTTTTTCCTTGTCTTTCTCTTTTTTTATATAGATTTTTTTTTCAATCAAAAGATTAAAATTTGTTTAGTCCATTTTAAATATATAAACTGATAGAATTAATATAAATACTTAATAACATTTTAGTTTTTCACCAAAAAAAATATTAAAAATATTTACGAATAAAATCTTAAAAAAAAAACAACAACAAGACATTGAATTCATACAAAAATTAAAAACTATTTTATATATATAAAAGAATAAAATCTAAAAAAATAAAAAACAACACGTTAAATCCATACAAAAAAATTAAAACTATTTTATATAAACAAAAGATTCAAAACTATATATAAAATTTGGCCAACAAATTAATAGTTCTCACAAACTCAAAATTCTAAAGCCCATTTAACTATATAATATAAAAAATACCCACACAACTCAAAAATATTCTAACAACCCTTATGAATTGGAAGCCAACTTACATCTTAATGTTAGATTTTAGATTAGATATTAGATGTTAGATTTTAAATGTGCAATCCACAAATATTTTGGTTTTGATACTGCTGTTGAGAGGGCGTTAATGCAGCCCATGTGGAGGCAAAAAAAAAAAAAAGCGGAAAATGGCATTGGAATTGTCAAACTCATGGGAAGATACGGCGATTAGTGATGGTGTGCGGCGTGCCAAAGGACGTCATTTTGCAACACTCAATAGGTTGGATTATTTTATTCTGCAGAGTACAGATTTTGAAATTGTCAATATTACCATTAATTTAAATTAATTTTGAATATAAATTTTAGAGATTAGAAAAGCAATATAAAATCATTTATAGTATAAATCCTATAAGATTAAAAAGAATCATACTTTTTGAGATAATTGAATAACACCATACACGAGAATAACGTTCTCTTTACAAATCCCATCCTTCCCTACCCTAATAATCATCCTTGAGATTTTATTTAATCTCACTTCATTCTACCTGACAATCAGATTACAAAGGAGCCAGTGCAAGCAAAATCATGTTACTATCTTACATAGGACAAGGCAAGAAATTGATACAAGGACCAAACAATGATTTCAAAGGGGAAGAGGAGACCAAAATAATAATTAGATAGGACCTATTATTGTATAATAAAGGAGGTAAACAATTTTTTGAGAGGCTGTGGCCCTTACCTGCCCCCTTCTAGCTCCAGCTCCTCCCCTGCATACTTACTGTTGTTTTTTATAGCTGATACATGCATCTGTTTATCGAAAGGTGTGTGACAGGAAATAATTTGAAACCAACAAAAGCAAACAAAAAACGGCACAGAAAATCCCATGTAACAGTCAAGAACACACTTCATATCATAGTCGTACTCATCAAACACACTAAAAGATACTGTTCTTACAAGCGAGCCACGATAATGGTAGAAAACATTCATTTACACCACCAAGTTTTAGGACTCAAGACACTGCAAGATACAAGAGTTCTGTTTGTTGTTTCTACAAGATCTACCTCACTTCTTCCCTCGAAGCTTTGCACCAAGAGCCCTCTCCAGTTTACCGATTATCTGTTGATTAGGGATGGCTTTTCCAGATTCATACTCTTGTATGATCAGAGGCTTCTCATTGATCAACTGTGAGATGACAAGAAATATTCAATGAAAGAACTTAAAATTAAATAAAGACTCATCACACTCCTAGGGCATGTGCAGGCATGCACAGAGAGAGACCTGAGCAAGTTGAGCCTGGGTAAGTTTCTTGTCCATTCGAGCCTGCATGATGGCTTTCTTCAGTTCAGTTGGGACTCGATCATCTGTTCACAAGTTTAAACACCAATAAAAAATTACAATGGAATCACCCTCAAAAACAAAGGTTCTACATAAATTGAAAACCGGTGAAAACACATGCAGTGAGTAGGGCAGTTGGAATATATACATTAAACATAGGCATTCAACAAATTATTGGAGGCCAGGATTAGGATCATATCATATTGTAATTGTGAACTGTGTAAATGTAAAACCATCTCATTCATTATGGAGAAGATGACCAAAATGTATGATAAGGTAAGCCATGGTTGTTATAAAAGAATATGGCAAATTACAAAAGCAATATGTAGATAAATCATAAAAGAATAATTGAGCTTCCAGAGCAACAAATATAGAATAAAGGTAAATCAGCATGCGCATGATCAAAAAACAACCCAACACTCTAGGACAAGATACTGCCAGTAGCAAGTGAACAAACAAAATACATGCACCAGCTAAGTCGGTTTTATCGCTAGTATACCGCCAACTCCAACACCACCAATGCCACCTATTCATGTCTCATTTTTTTCCCCAAAAAGCAGAAAAGAGAAGGTAATCAAGGCATTTTAAAAAAGCACATACAGGTGCATTTAAATTTGTATGGTTTCCTAACCTCACATAAGAAAGAGGAAACAAAAACACACACACACACACACACGCACACAGCCATCAATAGAAGTAAATTCATAAAACCTTTCCCTCCACTGATATTGCAAAACCATTTGGTAAATCCCTTATGCTAATAAGCTAATAAAAACTACTAGTTATAGAAGATTAAACATTCCCAAACAACCTACTTTAAATCGACAATCTGTTCGCATCTAAAAACATAACACAAAATTAAAATAATCCCAACACATAAATTCCTAAAGAAATGTTTGAATCACTATTCTAAATGAAACCCATTAAAAATACATTCAATTTCGAAACTATTATTCTCTTTTGAGCAATAAATTGCGAATTTCAGACGTAAGCATTAAACCATTTATAATTCAGATATAACTGCGTAAAGAAAAAATAACGAAAAAAGGGATAAAATATTGCTTACGGGAAAGATTTTCAGTTTCTTCATCAAGCTTCCTTGTGTTCAAAGAAGTACTACTTGATGCTGCCCTATTCGTCCCAGCATTTGCTGCAAATTCCCATTTACAAAAAATGGAATTTTTATTACCCTCTATTTTCACTAAAAAAAACCCTAATTGAGAAAATAAATTGTAATTACATTGGGGCTTTTTTCCGACGATATAACTAAAATGCTGATTTTTTTTTTCAAGAAACAAGTGAAAAGAAGAATACATTTTTTGATGGATTCGATCTCGGCACCAGCTCGACGAGCGGCGTTGACGACTTTCTCATCCTTCTTGGCGGCGGCACTTGGAGCTTTTTTTCGAATAACGACGGGTTCCCAGTCTTGAGTTAAAGGTCCAATTCCGGCCATTGTTTTTCTTCTCTTACTTCAATTTCTTCAATTGAATAACGGGAAAGGTCGGGATTAACGAATCAAAAAAGCGTTTCGTTAGAAATTCGGTGCATGAGAAGAATGGGCTTCTATATATATATATATATATATATATATGAAGAGCATCAACTTACTTTTAAATTTTTTTTAATTTTATATATTTTTTAATAATTAATTTTAATAGTCTTAGAGATGAGGTTAAATTATTTTTTATTTTTATTTATTTTTTATTATTTGGATTTATTAAAATTAATAATAAAAAAAATATGTAAAATTAAAAAAATTTTATAATATGTAAGTTAATCCATCCTTTATATATAAACTACATTTAGGCAATCTAAAAAAAGCTTCTTAGTTTGGTTAATAATAAACTGACACATTATCAAAATGATTATAATGCCTTTTTTTTTTTAATAGTTGTAGAAATGCCCTGTTAATCATTAAAAAAAAATTATTATATTGCACATTTTATCATAATTATGAAATACCATTTTTATCATAATTAGTTAAAATTACTAAAATGCTTTTATTATCATTATTCTTAAAATACCTCTTTAATCATAATTGATTAAAATTATTACAATACTCTTACCACCGTAATTGATTAAAATATCTCTTTTACTATAATTAATCAAAATAACTATAATATCTTTTACCATTAATACAATTATAATGAAGTCCTTTATCGAGTGTTTTATGTCAAAGTTGGAACACAGCGATGTTTTGGTTTGAAAATGTAATATAAATATTTTTATTAAATTACGTATTAAATTTTAATATAATATAAAATTAATCACATATTAAATTATTAAAATATTCTTATCATCGTGTCATAAAAATTTGATATATAATATTTTATTTTAAAATTACAATAATACCCTTATTAGATTACATATATTAAATTTAATATAATGTAAAATTAACTACATGTTAAATTACTAAAATTAACAACATACTAAATTACTAATCTCTCATTGATATTACCAAAATGCCCTTATGGATTTTTTAACGAAGAGTTAACACATGTCCTAAATGATTATAATGATCTCCTACCATAATTATGAAAATACCCTTCTACTATATATAATTATCAAAATTACTATAATGCTTATTCTATCATAATTATTAAAATGCCCCTCCTACCATAATTGCCAATATTATTATAATGCCTTCCAACTATAATTATAAAAATGACTCTCCTATCATAATTTATCAAAATTACTATAATACTTTTATCATAATTACGAAAATGTTCTTATGATTACTTTATTAAAAGTTGACATGTGACATTTTATTTAAAAATTACTATAATACTCCTATTAAATTATGTATTATATTAATTCTAAATATATTCAAAATAATAATAGTTCTCTAGCTTTGTGTTATGAGGTGGCTATTTCTAGTATATATATAGAATAGGGATCTACTTATACTAATGTAAGTGTTACACATTTTTTTAATTTTTAGATTAAAATTAAATCTATAACACTTATACTTAGCCATTTTGATCTAATGATAAAAAAAATATGTAATACTTACATTAGTATAAGTGAATTCTCCTCATATATATATATATATATATATATATATAAAGGTGAACACAATAAACCTACAAATTAAATATAATACTATATTACAAGAAACATGATTATTTGATAATGTTTGCTTACATATAATACAATCTATATTATTGACAAGTAGGATACTTCTTTAATTGTAGTTGTCTATCAAATAGTCTTATTATTTAAATTTTAAAAATGTTTCAAATATTAAAAGTTAGATTTATCCAAATATTTTTATATTAAATAATTTATAATCTTTATCCTCATTTAAATAAAAGTTATTGTGATCATTCCGATGAAAAAATTAAAAATTAAAATCTCTTTTAAAATTAATCTGGATATTTTTTTATAGAACATTTACATATTATTTATCTTACATTTAAAATATATAAATATGTGATAAAATAATTTTGAAGTTTTGGACTTTATTTATTTTTTATTATTTGTAAAGCATTGATATATTTACATATTGCATCCTTATTATTAGATTTGTAATATATGTTTTCAATATTTTTCGTCCTAAACCAATCGATTTTTGTGTAATAGTTTTTAAAACTAAATGCATGCATAAAAAATATGTATTATTATGATTTCTTCATTAGAGTAAATATATAATCAACTTTCACTTTAAATTATTTTTCAGTATATAAATTTAAATAAAGTGTTATAAAAAAATTTTCTTTAATAAGTTAAATAAGACCTTAAGTCCATAACAACATATAATACTTATAGTTATTTTTTATTTGTATTATAATAATATTTTTTCAATGTTTCATATGTCCTGAACAATGATAATTATCTATAAATTTCTTAAGATAATTAAGAATAAATTAGGTGAAAAATATTTTTTTATATAAATGGTGAATTGAAATTTTGCTGTAGGGTTAGGTCGACATCAAGTAGATAAAAAATAATAATATATGTCAAAACATTCAATAATCAAGTAATTAATTTTTAATTAAAATAATGCTAAATTTAAAAACAAATTAAATTATTGATTTTTGCACTATGAATATACAAAGAGAAATAATTCAAAAAAAAATTCTCTTTAAATTTAAAATCACATATCTCTTTTATCTTTTTTTAATTTTGAAGTATCTTATTATTAGTTTCTTTTTAAATTTAAAAAAAAATATTACTTTAAGTCTATTAATAATATTTGTCGTCATTTTTTTCTAGTATTTAATTTTCCTTAAGATTTATATTGCTTTTATGATTTATTATTTATTTTACTTAAATGAGTTCTTCTTTTTACATTATTTTTATTCAACTCTTTTTTGTTTGTTACACATTTCTTAATTGATATTCTTTTAGTATTTTTGATTAAAATCATAATTTAGTAAATGTATGTCAATACTTCTTTTAATATATGATTGACCATTTAATATTATATTCTGATGTTCTTTTAAAAATCAATATTGTATTTATATTCAAATTTTTTAATTTTTTTTATCCATAACTAATATTTCCTATTTTTTTCACATTTGTTTTCAGCATTTTGATTAAGATAATAATAGTAAAGTTTAGTTTTCTTATGACATGTTAATTGAATACATATAATATATATTTTATATAAATCATAAAATTTTAAAATCTAGATATAATTATAAGAATAATATAAAATTTGTGATGCATATTTAAATAAGTAAATAATTAAGATATAGCATAAGTGGCAAGCTAATTATAATAATAATATCAAAATATTAGATGACGTTGCAGTAAAATCCGTAAAGTTTGCTCGACTTGACTTATGAATTGGACTTCTTAGAATGCCCTAAATCCAAGATTCAATCACAATAGAAAATTTCATCAGACAAACTAAACTTATGGGTTTTTTAAATTCAAATTGGAATTCTTTCATTTAATTATTATTTTTTAAAAATAATAAATATTGTTTTATATTAATATTTAAAATTAAATAAAACATATTGTTTATTAATAATTAATTGGGATTGAGCTTAAAAATCTATACTTAAACCTATCAAACACAAATCATGCTTGTGACTGTGAACAAATACCTGAACCTTTGACGCCACTAAAGCAATGAGTCTAAACATGTTTATAAAGTATCAAGAAGAGTTATCTTTTTTATTTATCAATATACCCAATGTTAAATGACTTAGGATTCAATTACAAAAAGTGAGCTCCAATATGGTGGGAGAACTTCCACCCACCATGTTCCCAAATGGAGCGTTAATAGGAAGTAAAATTCAACATTAGGAAGAGAACAAATACCAAATCCATATTTTCTAAGCCATCGACACTTTGTGTAGCAATATAAGAATCATTAAATAAAAAGATAAAGTTGAAACTTATCACTTTACTTATACCATGTAGATCAAATTTACCATTTATCTTTGAACAAGTGAAATTTTACCATCATACTTTCTAATGTGATTCAAGAATTTTTTAAAAAAATTCTATACAATATTCCTTTTATTTCTCCATTGAATATTTTTGTGTTAACTTTTAACTAAAGGTGTCCAATTTTGTTAGTGTTAACTTTAACTAAATACAAGTGAGGTAGATATTCTAGACTTCAACGGCAAATAATCATTTATCAACCCAAAGATATTTTAAGATTTTTAGGGTATTTTAGTCTTTTTATCGACCTGATGTGGCTAAAATTGTTGAGGGAATCTTTACTCATACACGACATAACATCTTTATGGCATACTTTCGTATGTATCCATGTAAAAAACTATGTCATACTTCATTAATTCCACTTGACCAAGCATATGTGTTACCTAGGTATTAGGTACTTTAAAGCCACATCAGACCAGACATATTCCATCAAGTTAAACTTGATCACGTCAGCTCATGTATAAATATCTCAATTTCTCCTTCAGGTAACTCTAAGCTTCCCAATTCTCTCATTTCTTGGCTTTTTAACCTATTCATGCTTTACTTCTCCTCCAATCTTTTGATTTGAATGTTGAAATACAAATGCTAGAACCACTTTTGCCCTTTGTCCCTGACCGTTGTTTACTCATGTTAAGTGCTTACCTCATAATCAATTTCAGCATAAATATTTTGGCACCATCGAGTGAAGGGACTATTCCAAAATGGCACCTAGATAGAGAATTATGGAAGAGGTCCAACCATCGTAGCAAAAACCTTAAACTTCTACACCAAACAACCAAATCCACAACATCCTTTAATCATTGAGCAATTTGATGCTTTGACCTACCAATTCTAGAGCTTAACTAAGCTTATTCAAAGCACCTTAACACTTTAACCATCACTAAAAAAAGCCTTTAATCACCTTAAGAAACCCAATACTAACCTAAAAATCTCAAACCACCCAACACAAAGACGTTGACTTTTTAACATCGAAAGAGGAGACTCTAAAAAACTAGTACCATTCAACTTCCAAACCACCTAAAAAATCCATAAATCAAAGAAAATCACATTGCTTGTATAAGAGTTGGTTATAAACAAAGAGTTGGAGGCTCAGGTGAATGTGATGGAGAAAAAAATGAAGAGCAAAACTTCTCTATTAGCAAATGAGCTGAAGATCTTGGAGCTTCATTTTTCACT